ATTTAAAGTATTAGGTTTGTGCTTCCTCTGCATCATAGATAATGAGACAATGATAGGCCTATGGTTTTATACTACTGTGCATATAGTTATCCTTCTTATTAAGAGCAATAAAGGCTTTATATCAGACTGGGTAGGACAAATTATAGTCCAGGTGCAATGTACACAAGTGGCTACAAATGTTGCCTCCTTTTCACCACATTAAAACAATGCTCAATTCTCTCTGAAAGGTGTTAAAATTCTAACCCCTTTTGGCATTCATGTCTGCATGCCATTGGTTTGCCATAGAATAAAACAAAAAAGGTAGGAAAAGTTAATTGGCCGAAGATAAAATATGAAACCCCTTAGAAGTGGTGATATGTGGATTATTTTCATATTTCAAGCAGAAATAGTATTACAGGTGTTTTTAATCTTAACAGCAGTAATTCAGCTACTGTGCTGTTGACTATCATTGTGTGAATAACACTGAACATGGCCTGGACAAAAATAAATAAATAAATAAAACAGGTGCCAAGCATGCTCAAGGTAAAGGTTACAAGACCATCTTCAAGCAGCATGATGCTTCTGTGGCCACAGTTGCTTGTATTATGGGATTGTAGCCAACTCCACTGGATGTGGCTCCAAGAAAAAAACTGACCCCAGATGGAACAGAAGGATATTTTTAATGATGGAAAAAAGAACCAGAAAAAAAAAAAAAAAAATCAAAGCAGATATAAGATGATCTCCATACATCACTTTCTTTCAGAAAGCGAGTTCCATGGAAGAAGACTCAGGAAAACCCCACTTTTGAAAGAGAATAGTAAACATCTGACAGAAGTTTGTTAAAATGCATAGTGACAATCCACGATGCTTTTGGGGAGAAGGTCTTTCATGCAGATGAAACACAACTGATGCTTTTTCATCACATCAGTCCTCTGTTCACAGAAAAAAAAGGCTTTCAAAGAGAACACCACCACCCCCATTGTGAAACATGAAGGAGGCTCAGTTATGTTATGGGGTTGTTTTGCCTTGAATCTCTGCAGGGCACAATAATATCATAAGATTATCATGACAGTCTGAAGAGAAACATACTGCCCAGTGTGAGAAAGAGCCATCTCGCAGGTCATGACTCCTCCAAGAGGACAATAACCCAAAACACAAATCTAAAAGCACCAAGAACAAATGAATACAGAAGTGGCCTGCTTTCATGATCTTGATTCAGCTAAACATGAAACAACTGGAGCAGTTTGCTAAAGAAGAGTGGGCCAAACTAGCAGGTGAAAAATGCCAAAGTCTCATTAACAGCTACAAAAGGTGCTTGACTGCTGTGATTGCCTCAACAGGGCGTGCTACAGAATATTAGGTTAAGGGTCCCAGCGTTTCTGCCCATGTCATTTTCATTTCTTGAAGTATGTTACATCAGAAATCAAAATGTTTCTGTGTTATTAAATATGGAACAGAACAGTGGATGCCAAAGACTAGGTTTCTAGTAGTTCAGAGAAAATTGCGTTTTTTCTTTTATCAAATAATTGGAAGGATACCAACACTTTCAGGCATGTCTGTACTTAACAGTATGGGTTACTGACAACAGCTCTGCTAGAACTCTAGTCCCAGATGATCAGTGTCGCTTTGTAGACTAGTTTAAAAAGAGTTTGGAGTCTAAATAAAAAGGAACATGTTCTGGTAACAAATGACAGACAAAATGAACAAAATGGAGCAAACTCCACACAGAAAGGTGTCGGGTTGGCCCAGCCTCAAACCTGGTACCTTCTTGCTGTGCGACGGTGCCAACCACCACACTGCTGTGCCCCCCACATGTTGGGCGGCACAAAAGTGTTGTGCATTTTTATCCTACTTTACTGTAAATGAAAATGTGTCCTCAAATCCCCATATTGCACAGGTGTATAGCAAGAACAGAAAACAAAACACTTTGAAACTCCTCAGTATCTAACCATCTGTTTGGTAAAACAATACATTTTAACACCCATAAAAGAAAAAAATAAAAAGCTGCTGAAATGAATGAGTAACACACCACATAAAATAGAATAAAATATTCGATTGATTTATTTATCTGTACAGTTATAGGCTGGGTATTATGTTTTGTTTTTTTAATATATTTGAAGTACTATGGGATAATTAATTTCATTGAACATACATGCAATGACAATAAGGCCACTGAGTGATTGATTGATTGATTGATTCATTCATTCATTTATGCATAAACAGACAGTTTAGGCATATAGGAGTTCTTGTGCAGGGCTCTCCTGGAGTCAAGTAAAGAGTTTAAAGCCAAAAGAACGAACACCTAGTCTAAAAATAAGATCACCCAAAAATACAAAAAACAAGAATACCCAAGAATACCAAATAGTTGATAAAATTGCGATATTACAGGAAGGGTGTTTCAACGGTGCTTAAATTGCACAGATGGTAAATTTTCTCACAGGGGTAAATCTCCCACCTGCTGCTAATGTGGGAAAAAAAGACCTCACTAGATGTGTTTCTAGGATTTAAAATGCAGTTGTGATATCCCCATTGTATGACTTATAACCCCTTGGACAATGGCATTCGATGCTCCCAGTCCTCTACAGACCTGAGAAGCAGCACCCCCGAATAATTCATGAGGTTTGAAAATACTGTAAGAGTTTAAGCAGGTATAACTCAAGACAAAACATCCATTCACCTTGTTTTTCTCATAATACAAAATCACCAAAATCTAAATATAACAAAACTTTGACTTTCATAACTGTCATGCAACACCCTGTTAGTGCCATATAGATGTGACTTTATGCACTCATTCTACAAATGCAACTTCCACCAGGAAAAAACCTTGAACCCAAGTCTGATTCAAAGCTCTCTTTAGTAACCTGTACACATTGGTGCAATTACATTTTTTTTTAGATTAAATCAGATTTTAATGTTCATTTTCCAGCATCAGTTTGCCAAAAATACAAGGACTGTTGTCACACAATAAGAGGACAAAATAAATTAATAACGTGCTGTCAGTGGAAACAATTACCTCCACCGGATAATGAAGATTTATGCTTTTTACACCTGTGCCTTCACTATGAGTAAGTTAACCTACTGGAACTGATCAAATGATGCTGCAACAATTAGCATTTAAAATGTTTTATAATATACAGTAATTAGCCATAGTATATACAAACTGAATAACCTACACTGACTTCAGCATTCATTAAATACGTAAACAATTCAGATTATTTTCTTGACTCAAGGTGACTCAGCAGTGACTCATTAAAATACATCAATACATTTCCAAGTGAATAAATTGGATGGTTACTACATTTCTTCCTTGCTTGAATACTTGAAGCCCGTTTGTGTGGAAATCACCTACAAGGATCTGGCACATGTAAATTATCCCAGGAAAAGTCACTCAATGTCAACTCATTTCTGCGTCCATCACTAAAAAAGATGGCTAACCCACAAGGTTATCCAGGGAGCACCTTGTCAATCCACTCACATAAAGGCAGCAAATCGCCCTCTTCCAATTGTAAACATTAGCCTGACGCATGCAAAACTGCAGCACATCATGCTTTTAAAAAGAATCTAAACTGAATTGTGCATATGCAACATCAGCATTTAAAATGTTGTGCCCAGATTTTTCAAAAATATTTTGGACACTTTCATGATAATGCTACTGCAGCACAACACTCCTGTCAATTCTGCTGTTTTGTTGTTACTTGGCTGGAGTGTGTGTTGGCATTTACACATTTTGCACCACGGGAAGTGTCTTTTTAAAAAGCCATTAAACTACGAAGCTGCCAAATGTAAGCATATGGCTCACTGCTCCAGCTTTTATCTTAACACAAGGTGAGATGTCTCATAACATATAGAGAAGAAAGCACTACAAATGTGATTTAAAAAAACCCTTATCCTACTGCACCAGCGGAATAGCATGGATTCACAGAGAAGGAGCACATGAACTACAGTAGGTAAATAAACCTTAGCCAAAGTGATATCATATAATAATCTGTGTTCAGTATGTACCTCCACTACATCATCCTGATTCCAGCTCAGTACAATGACTGCTCATCAGTGATACACCTAACATTAGACTTGATTTTTTTTTGTTTTCCCACAATCAAAAAATTATGTTAATTTATGCCATTATTGATTACTGGCATTATTAACTAGGAAAAATGGCTAAAATCTGTATCACAACATTAATATTGCTGATGTATGTCATGATGTACCACATACATTTCTTATTTTATATGCAAAACTGCATATAAAATAAGAAATGACATGTACAGTACAATTAACTGTGTTCAACTCTTCCACATTTCATGAGACAACAAATTACATAGATAGAAAACCCAATAAATAACTTTGCTAGTGATTTTTTTTTTTTTATTTGCTTGCAATTATTTAATACAGGCAACTGAATTCAGTAAAATTATAACAGTGTGATCAAACTATGTTACAATTCCGTCCAAAGAAGGTACACAGAAATGCCGAACCTTAACTGGCAGATACACAAAAATAAATTGACAAGAAGCAGAAGAAGAGGAGGAGCAAAAAGGAGAGAAAAGTGGAAGAAGAAGAAAGTATGTTGAATTTAAAGGGCTAAAATTTATGATGATAAAGTGAATTCTTTTGTTAAAAGTGAGAAGCTAATTTGGTTTAAGCTGGTGGATATTTACAGTAAAAACACTCACTGCATCATTGCTCTCTTTAAAACTACTCTATCCAGTTTCTTTCCAGCTGCTAGAGGGACTAATGAGACCATAAGCTGCTCCTAACCGCTTCCTTTATGCCCCGCTTCCTGGCAATGACGTAAACTTGCCTGGTTGGGTCAAATGGTACAAAATGCTGTCTCCAGTCCGGAGGTAGCCTTTAGCTGACTAATGAGTAAATCTGGCAATCTAGCAGAACACTCTTTACTACTAATGTGACAAAAAGTACTAACGTTAGACAAAACTTTAACTACTCCAAAATTAAAATCATATTCATTTAAAACAAAGGTAAAATCATGACCCTGTAGGATCACTAATGTTCAACATTACCTCCTGAGTGGGGCGGTGGTCCACACAGCAAGACCACTCCTTGACCTTCACGAACCCTCACTGGATTTCTTCTCTGTGTCTTGAAATTCTCCAAGTCTGTTCAGCACAACACAGCAAAACCATCAGTTCGTGTTTCACAAAAACAACAAGCATGAAGCAAAGAGGACATGCCTAGTTGTTTGCACAGCTAAAAATGCAACCCAAGTCACACCTGTTGTTGCTCAGTGATTTTATATTTAGTTAAGAGCACAGCTACTGACCAGAGCTCAACTGCGAGACAGGAGGCAGAACCTTTCATGAAATACTATGTTTGTATAAATGCAGAAATGGTGCCGTAAAGTGCAAAATACTTCTGACTGGAGCAGAAAGCAATTCTTCAAGAATAAGACACACATGAGTGAATTTAATTGGAACTGTGTATTATCATCACTTTTTGTGTTTCATCCACTGCACACAGACCAGCAACAATTAAATGACTAAGACTGAAACATCATTTGTATGGAGAGCAATTACTTGTTGACAACCTACTGAGAGAAAGCAAATAGAGAAAGTGATCCTTGAACACTCTGCCTTTTCTTGCCCACTGTACGGCGGGCGCAGCAAATTGGTTGCCTGCCATATAATTCCATAATCAAGACTGAAAAAAAAAAAAAAAAAAAACAAAGTCAACACCTTTGTGTACATGAACAGCAGGATGAGCCTCTGCATAATAAACACAGTACATGATCTTTGAGGACCTTGTGAGTAATGGGAATCTGCACCTAGTACAAAAGTTTTCTTTGTTTCACAAAGAAATCCTTCATATGGCTTCACAAATAATTAGCAGATCATCAAGTTCTTTTTATCTTTTCCTTGGTGCAAACAGATTGTATGGATGCTTCAGTGGCCAATTCAAAATCTATGGCTGATCCACGGGTAACGCATAAATGAGAAACAGCCCCTCTGTGTGCATGAACAGATTCAGCACAGTATGGACCCCTCTGGAGCAGCGAGATATTTCTAGACCCTCTGGATCTGATGAAGCTCATAAATAAATATGAGAAACCTATCTATTAATTTATCTTTATGTCTTTTTATGCAGTGAACAGTTGTGGAGCAATCATTATCAGCCCTCTGATGACATTCATGTACAGCAGACGCTTGATTTTAGATAAGGAAAGTGCTGTTAATCATAAACAGACAACTTTCAAACAGCTCGCACATTAATAAAATAACACTGGAAACCCAGAGAGGGAGGGATAACGGTGTCTCTCCTGGCTAATCCAAACTTACAAGTTTAGTCTTTTTTACCCAACTTATTTAAATATATTGAGCCTTAGCTGACTAAAAACAAGAAGCATCTACAACCATGCTGCTGAATCAGTGTGCCTGAGCTGCAGAAGCAAGGAGTTTAAAGGTTTTGATGTTGTGAATCATTTGGTTTCAGTTCATAATCTGCACATCTGAATGTGGATAAAAACTAATACACTATCCACAGTAGGACGTCTGTAGTTAGACATGCTGCAGAAAACATTTGGCACGCTGCTGGACAGCCAGCCACTTAGTGTGTGCAGTAGAAGTGTGTTTTAGAAAATAGGCCTGTGTTTGAGCACTTCCCTGTATCTCTAATATCCAGCACCTGTTATTAGCATGACTGCTCTTTGATTTATGGTTTTCCAGCAGTTGGATAAGTCTGTTGACAATGTTTGGCCTTTTCAGTACATCATTTCCTAAGACTGAACTGCAAAACAATGTCCCATTACATGTGCATTGGTGCATTACATTTCTTTAAAAGCATCTAAAATGAATATAGCATTAGTCATTTGTTTGCCAGCTGCACAGATAAAGACAGCTGTCTGATTAAAATCTTCGTCCACTATTCACCACTAAGTGAAGCAGTGTATGTGAAACATCTGCCCTAAATAAGCCTTTGTGTATTTACCATATTGAGAAAAAAAATATAGTGTGAGACATCCCTTTACATTTTTTTTGGCACCACACTCTGTCAGGCACTGTAAACAACATACAGGAGTAGATTTAATCCTCTCCTAAAACCAGGCTCACATCTCTGTAAATATCAGAGTTGCTCATCTCACACTGAGTGTGAAGGTCTCCTGATCAATATTCCTTTGGAGTATGGTGGGGCGTAAATGAGATGGATACACTAAAAGCCAACAATGCCTGACAACCCAAGCTGTTCTGCACCCCGTGGATCATCAAGCCTATCACAGCTCTACACCTCCATGTGTTTCTCCATACCAGGGTCCAGGCTATTTTGAGTGCTTGGAGATCCATGAAATTGGATGTGAATTAGCGTTTTTTTGGACTAGGTAGGCCATTGCAATGAATAAGACGTGACTTCAGAGAAGAATAACTGAAGCCATTCTGTTGGAGTATGAGCTTGAAGACAATTTGTGATAACACTTTACATTTTTAACAACATTCCACAAGGGCCTTTAATTGATGTTCTATAGCTATGGTATGATACTATATGCCTCCATTAAGCATCTCTGTCTTTTAGTGACCAAAGGGGTTATTCTGTGTTTCTGATTTGAGCAGACCAGTCACAGTGAGTTTGGTTAGAACATTCTTAAAACAAAACAAAACAAAACAACAACAACAACAACAAAAAAAACAACAAAAAAACATAAACACTATGGCTTTTAGCCCAACTTTTGTTAACAAATCTAGATATAATCATATGGCTGTTTTACATACATAGTTAGTTGCTGAGTTACCTGGTAGCAACAGATAGTTACTCTGTATATTCTGCTGAATGTGTAGTGAATATTGACATAGATAAAACCCGGCACTAGCTGTTGTCAGTGCCAGTTGCAACCCTTCTCCAGCCTACTGTAGCTATAACCCCTCTAACCCATCTTACAACTGCCTAGACCAACAAATACCTGTTTAAATGTGCTCGCCAACCCCCTGCAACAAAGACTTTACAACAGACAGGTTAATTGGATTGGATTCTTCTGGTGTCTAACCAGACACCCATAATGTTCAATTACTGGGAAACCAGCACATTCTTACAGATCTGTAACTGTCTGATTATGTCTCTATCACCACATCCCATTTAACAGGATTTGAACTTGGTATGCAGTGCAGCATACTGTACAGCAAAATTACTGGCTGACAAGAATTTGGTTTGGTTTTTAATGCATTTTGTGTACTAAAGTGTTAAAGCTGGTGGCCGCAGGGTTTTATCATATCCCATCAATTTAAAAGTCATTGATGAAGGTCTACAAATGTTATGCCAACCCAGTCAAGGGGTTCAGAGACATTTCACTCTGAATTAAAATGTTGGACTGGAAGGCTGACTAACATCGTCATCCTTTAATGTACAAAAAGTGCTAAACTAGACTAAAAGGCTATAAAAGCATGCTCGTGGAGGTTTCAAGAGAACCATTTCAATTCCCTTACCAGACCAAAGTTGTCTTTTTATAGAGCTGGAAAGCTGCAACAGCCAAGGCTGTCAAGAATGTAGTCGTGTCCCACCCAGCTGGAGTCGAACAGTAAATGTAAAGAACCTTGGAACCAATTTTACTGGGATGACATTCAGCTTTTTTTTTTGCTTCACCCAGTAATATCACCATTCTAGCTTTTTCACCTATGTATTTTTCATCAGTTACTTTAAGGGTGTGACAGCACAAACAAATCCACCAACAATTAAGGAGCCCAAGTGAAATAACTTTGCATTGCCCTACACTGCCATGTGTTTTTCTAAGGAGATTCTTGATCTTTCTTGTCATAGTTGTCTGTTCTAAACATATCAAATTAACCTGCTGCACTCAGTGAAACAAACTCACTCAAAACAAGCTCCACTCTTGGGCTCCCACACCTTCTTGTCTGAGCACTAGCATTATTAAAGTGCATAACACAGCTGTTTTATCACCACAGGGTCAATTTGTACACTTGTTCCTGGCGACTTGTTTTCATCTTATATTGCCATGCTGTCCTCGTGCTACACAACTGAAAAGTATTAATAATAATCACATACTGTATATTTAGGAATCTTCTATACAATATTTAACAACCATTTACCCAAATTTTATAGCAATCTGCCCATTAACTGTAAACAAATGAGACTACCTCTGTGAAAACAGGGAGTGTTCGCCAACGGCTGCTCTGCAATGCAGTACACTAAATCATGATTTATGGAATTTCTGCTAGAGTGACATTTTCACTTCGGAAATAACACAAGTTTATTCTGCTCTAAAATTTCTCCTTACTCCTTACAAAAACATGCCCTAACTGGCATCATGAGAGGTGTAACAAAGGGGAAGGAATGGATGTTTCAGAGGGGAAAACAGACGCATGTTTGCTGCAGTCCTGATAGAAAACCCTGACATGCAGCCCAGTGTACTGACTGAGTCAAAGCTTTTGGTAATGACTCGAGAAGAAACAGCACTTTATTGTACAGTGTAGCAAGGTTTAAAGAAACCTTTATAAAGGGGGTAAACCCTCAAAAATTGGAATGTAGGGGAAAAACTAAATTACACACCATCTATGGGATGTTGCATTAAGACCGCAGAAGCTACACTGTGGAAGTTACTGTTATAATGTGTGGGTATTTCTAAAAGCATCTACTGTACGCTGCGATTTACAGTTATCTATTTTTCATGCAATCCTATTAGTCTTGACTAGGTTATTTAGAAAAAGTGAAGGGTTACTAATCACAAGGAAGCTGTGCAAACTCTATTGTTGTAAGTTTTCAACAAGGTGCAAGTTGCCAACTAGCTGCAATCAACAAGTGGCCATATGATGTTACTATGAAGGTAACAATATAAACCACAATAAAAATTACTGAGATGATGAAAAACCATATTCTCCTTTCATCTGTTATCTTGGTTTGCTTCTTGTCCTTCCCTCTGTTCTCAGGGTAGTATCAGTGAACTAACAGTGAGTGACACATGACATTTGAGAAGTGATAAACATCAAAGCAGCCCAATTCTTACAGAGTGCTCCTGCCGGTGTCTCCTGACAGTTACAAGTGCTGCTTTCAGAAAATACCTGCTGCCCTCATCCCTAAAAGATGATCCGAAACAGATTTATCACTTAGCATCACAGTTCTGATAAGACATGTTATTGTCCCTTCCTCCAATGCTCCGCAGCACAAAGCAGACTTCATTTTCACCTGAGGCAAAAGGGAATGAATCAAGAGTTCAAAGCTGATGGAAACAAGAGGGGGGGGGGATTATGAGAGAGATTGAAATCTTGTAAAGTAATTACACAAAAAAAAGCAGTTAGGTTAGGCTGGAACCAGTAAGGAAAAATGCAAACAGTGTGCAATTAGAGGAATGAATCTGAAAGGAGAAATCACTCGCACCAAGTTACAAGGGAGTCACATCCTACATTGCTTTCATAAATACAGCTATTTCACCCTTCATTAAACACTGTGTTACCCTTATGCCTCCGTAAGCAGCACAGCATCTTTGCTGTAGCTCGTTCCTTTTTCAGGACAGCCATCCGATATGTTTTGCTTGTATTGTGGCTCTTGCAATTTGTTGTATAATGGTGCATCTTGCATTAGTGAAAATCCCTTCACTTATACTAAGAATATCCCTACTAGATTAGAAAACTCAATCTGGCTCAATGACCAACTAGATTGCTTCCAGCTATCTCAGTGGGCAAGCAGAACCTTTACACCTTCAAGTATGTAATGTCAACAGGATCAAGAACCTTTATTCTTTTAGAGGTTTAAGCCCTGACCAGATGCTGTCAGGCTAAACAGAGACTTTTGTATCATCTACCTTTCAGAGGATTAAACATGCAGGCAATCTAAATTGCCAAACTGAAAAAGAAGGTACAATAGTGTTTTATTAATGAGAATGATGTAATCACATCAGTATTCTGCAGTGGTGCTTAAAAGCATTGGTTTTAGGCTACCAGACTTGACAAGATTACTTGCTAGACATTATTGTCGATCCTTGTATGTTCTTTTTATTAATGCCCTTCACCTCGGTCTGTGTCTCACAGAGTTATTACAACACCGAGAGAGGTGAAAGCCCCTTGGTGTTTGAAACAGCATATTGAGCCACTCTGAGTCAGAGTCTGTTACAAATGACATAATACTGATACTGGCTCAGCCAGCTCCACCATGAATTATTCCCTTGTCCTAATATTTGCTCAATCACATAGCACTTAATAAAGTTAAACCAAGAGCAATGAATAAGATGCATGAAACATCAGTACTGATGCTTGTCCTGATCTGTTGACTAAAGCAGCAGGTTCCAGGTCAGGCCCAGGCAGACATTCATTTCAAGTCAGGCCTCAAAAATGTAAATGTAAATCAACAGCTAGCTCACAGCTCAGGACACTAATCTGCACTATATGCTGAAGATTTAATGCCATTTTTTGTGACAGAAAAAGGCAACCAACAGTGGCAAGATAGATACCTCTGACGCTTCCCTGCCAAGGATAATTTCTATGGCAGAAAAACGGACATCAGAATTCAATCTAGCTGCACCATCTGTTCACAGATATCATGACTGTCATTTGATATGGGCTACCCATCAAGAAAGGAGGCCTCAAGTTCACCTTGCCATCGGAGATGCCTTAGACTCTGGTCTTATAAAACATGATGGATGAAGACCGTAAAACATCAAGTACATGGGGTCTGTTGGGGCCGACCACACAATCACATAATCTTCATCCCAGGGGTGTGAGTAGTTAAGAACCACCAAGCAGAGTAAATACTAGAAGTGCAGCTTTATTTAGGGTTAAGGGGTAAAAGCATAATGTGACATGGCAGATTAATTTCTATTTTCTCAACTTTAGCAGTAACAGCTAAGAGTCTCCTATCACTGGTTATTTTTGGTAGAGGAAAGGCAGTCTGACCACAGACAATTTCCTGTTGACCCAATGAAATAACTGAACCAAACTAAACCAAATAAAAAGGAAACTTAATTGATGTACACTAAATTGAGCACAAAAAGGCAATAACAGTTTATTACCAATACAAATAGAATTATTCTGAAACAACACACATTAGACTGTCATTTGGTTAAGGAGCACTCCACCGGTTTATCAGTGCACTCCTATCACATGTACTCACAATGAACAGTATCTAAATCCATGCAGCCTCTAGCAGAGATAAAGGAGTGGTTTACTTACATGCAATGTGCAGACTGGCCTCTCTGCTGACGATAGTGCCAAAAGAGTTTGATGCCAGGCACTGATAGATGCCAACATCTTCCTCTTTATTCAGACTGCTGATGTGCAAGTTTCCTCCCATGAGAGAGTAACGTGACCCCGGTCTGGGCAGAATGAAAGTGTCATTTAGCTTCCACCTGTGAAGGCAAGCACATGACACACAACAAAAAGCCATTAATGGATTTAAGGTTCCCTGTATTTTGTCATACCCATGCACCCAGTGGTAATCAGTTCTGATACACAACAGACAGCCCGATACAAAAACACTTAGCTACAGCACATAAAATTGAGTTCAAATAATGTAAAACAAACACTAGCCAGTGGCCCAAAATATCCCTTGTCCAACTTAAGGGGGCATATCCTATGAAGGCCGACTGCGTCACATCTAAAGACTTTGCATCTTTTATTCTAGATAATGTAGGTATTATGGGAAGTAACATCTGATGTGCACTGCAGCAAAAACCACAATGACTGAAAAGAGAGGCAACCAGCAGTCATTCCAAAAGATTGGTAATTTCTGCTGAGGCTTTTACTTACTTCAAACAAGTATTACCACAAATAAAATGCTCTACAGTCCTCTGACAGTTCCTTTCTTTCAGTCTGTTTGTCCAACAACCACAGCCTCATGAGAAAGCCCTTTCACTGAGAATGTAAATCCTTCTCTTTAACCATAGCGATTATCAGGCGAGAGGGCATAGCACCAGGACTACTCAAAATGGCCGCATGAAAAACACAGGATAATGGTGCTTTCTGATTAAACCTTTAGGGTAATGTGGGAGTCCAGTAAGAGAGTGTGTGTGAGATAGAGAGGCCAGCAATCAATTTTTAACTTTAAAAGTTGTCTGTGTGGCTTGATGTGGTTGACTTGTTGTTCACTTTGCATTATTAAGGCTCATGTTCCACAAAAATCTGCCACGTTATGATGCCAGTTCAACCATATTCAAAATGTGACCATAACCTCCTAAATAATTATACAGACTACAGGGTTGCATTTTTATTAACTGTCAACAACACACGCTTTAATCTTTTTCATGTGTTCCTGTAAACGTCTTCAGTCTGTTTTGCTGAGAACAATCTAAGTGGATTACAATACACTGGATCACTTCAATAGGTTTCTAAAATTGTATTATACTCAGGCAAAGTTAGTGTGCAAATGGAATTTCTATTCAAGCTAAAATCACAGACAAAAGGAAAGAAAATGAGAAAAAGGAGAGTAAACAGACTAACAAGAAAGGTGACACTTGCAAAAGGAGACAAGAAACCGCTTTTCATAAAAGAAATGGACAATTAGCTCCTCGGTTCTTGATTAGATTTGCACAGCTTTCTGACAAATAGGAAGTGTGAGGTTTCTATTTCTGACTTTCTTCATCCTTTTTCAGTGAGAAGGCTTTAGATAAAGAGAGCAGGAGGCAGGGCTGAAGAAGAGATTGAATAGGGGAGACATGCAGCATGCAATGTTCAACAACAGACTGGCTGATTAGATTGATTTAGTGATTTGGTGTTGCAGCTGGAACGGGTTCAAGAGCTCCAGATGAAACAAATCAAGGGGCCGTGGTGACAACTTAGAGTGGGGGGGCTCTATACAGCAGCGTCCGTTGGGTAGTCTTAGACAAATTCATTTGTCCTTGGCATGCCTGAAATAGACCTGCCTACATTCACAGCAGTGAAGAGCTACTCAGCATATGGTGCTCTATTACCGAACCTCATAAGGACCCAAAACCTTTTCAAAACTCATTTTCAAAGCTGGTAGCTGTGACCTTTGCTTAAAAAAAAATTATCAAGGTGACAGCACAGATATGCTGAACCAACAGCACAGCAAAATGTCAGTCCCATCATTAAATGGTATAAAAGTAAGATATCAAAACAGCTTGTGATCAATCTGAAAAGCACTTCTGAATACAGTATATCAACTGCCACGGTTAGTGGCACTTCCATTAATTAAAGAGCTAATTAGGGCTAAATTTGATTTGATATAAGGCTCAGCACACACTTTGTATTTGAACTCAGAAGGACAAAAACTTAAAAAAAAAAAAGGTAGATTTGAACTCAAATTGGTTTTCATTTAAAAGACCAGGACTACCCAGACAACAAAATAGCTACTAATTGCTTAATAAGTATTACAACCGGTCCAAGGGATAAGATCTCGTACATTCATTTCAATTTGTGCCCATTAGGCAAAACACCCAGGATCTTCAAGCTACATTAACGGCCACATGTGCTATTATGAGGGATTGTTTCAACCTATTATGCATTAAATGCTCAGCTTTGCTATTTGCATTTAATTACACTGACAGGAGTACAAGAGAAATGTGTACCCATTTGATAGATTACCAATTAACAGCTTATGCACCTGATGCACTTTAAAGCAAATCATCATTTGCTGTTTGTTTTCATTAGTCATTTTAGCAGCGGAAGAAATGAGCATCAAATTGTCCTTAACAGAATTGCTTGGGGTCTGCTGAGCAAATCCAGTGTACTGTACGAGGACAGCAGCTACTGTTTTTCTGCACATCAGTCAAGTGATTTGTAACAACTATATCCAAATCAGATGCCCTGTGGTGATGCCTGTGCAGGCTTTTGCAGTAATGCTCTACATAAAGCATTAAGTGTAGCAAGCGTAAAGTAAAACTATGGACACGTGTCTCTTGCCACATCCTTTCTGGTATGTGAAATATACCCCACTGGTATTTTCCTTCTTCACTCAATCTCTGTCATGACAGCAGCCGGGTTTTGGTGCGCGACTGTCTTGGGTCACTTGATCTTTATAATGGTCACTGATAGTGATGATAGGAAGTGCTCAAATTGAATTCTACAGCAGATCAATGTCCATCCAGCAATGCAAATGTACAACAGACCAGCAACCAAGGCCAAATAGTCCATCATTCTCAAATTAACCATGACTGACAGCAAAATTAAGTGCGTTGACAGCGAGCAGCTGTAGGTCCACAAATTCCTAGTTTTCCCAGGGTGATAAATTCAGTCTCACTTGGGTTTTAGTAAAAGCATTGCAAACGAAAGCTCTGGGGTATTACCTTAACTGTGTGCATAAAGCCATGCCTGCAAGTGTTACCTGTAGAAGGGTGGCGGCTGTCCCTGGGCCTCACAGCTGAACACCACTTCTCTGCGATTCTCACCAGGCTGAAGAGGAAACACCACACTGCCAGGTTGTTTGGTGAACACAGGTCTCAGCAGGGCTCCGCTTCCTGGGTGGAGAACCAACAGCACTACATCAGCTTAGATGTCCTGGTGAGCCTGAAAACCACTTTTCACATTTTTCTCCTCACAAACCAATATTGGCTTATAGAGCGAGGAAACAAGTGGCAAACAAGTCTTGCACAAACAAGGTTGGCTCACTACAAGTTCCCCGTTTGGCATGGGTCCATTGGCCATGTGAGTAAGGCCCATGAGAATTTTTCCTAGTAGTCGTAAAACCTTGATAGATCCCGAGGATGCTGCGTAATCAGCTGGTGACCTTCATAAAACTTTAATGCAAACATCTGAATGTACAGACTTGTCAGAGGGACACTGCAATGCTTCAGCATAATTTCATCTAAACCTTTTAACCTTCCAAGAGATGTCATCCAATATGAAACCTCAGATAAAATGGCACAACAAATATTGACAGTAATACGGCCTATATAATAATTTAAGATGAGCTTGCTCTCATTTGAGCCAGTAAAAAGTGTGCCCTTTGAAACAGACTAATTAGTCTGTTTTTCTTTATCCAAGGTTTTTTCCCCTTCCTAAGACAGAAAATCAAAACCAAGTCTTGGGGTCTTTCAAAGTTGTTGTTTTTTTTTTTTTTATACTGAAGAAATGGAAAACAAATTGCTTTTATTTTAAACTAAATCCAAGCCACTGATTATTACTTAAAATGCAATCATGCCCCAATCTTTGAAAGACCTTTTTTTTAAATGTATAATGGTTATTACAAAGATTATTCATCTTGCTGTTTGTGTTCTACCAGGAAAACAGGAAACAGAGAGCACTTAAATTACTACAATAACTCTTAATTCCCTGAATGATATTATGGCATTGTTGATTCTTTGTCATTGTAAAAACACATTGTAAAAAGAAACACAAACAAAATCAACAGCGTGTCTAGTGTGACATTTAATTAGTTAATTATAAAGGCTCAATGACAAATGTATGTTGAGCAAGCAAACGCCACAGAAAAAGTGACCCATGGGGCAGTCGACACTTCACTGGAATAAACATTTCTTTCTGTGATCGAAGGGGAATTTGTCTGGATTTGTCAGAACACATTTACATTTTATGCAATAGCACAGAAATGAGAAGATTCTGTAGGTAATAATTTGTATGAGAGGCAGGTTTTCAAGTCTCTGGAGCCCAAAGGGTACAGGTTTATCCTCAAAATAACTCTCTGGAAGATGGGCAGGGGGGTTCACAAGGGACCGTTTTCTGCTGATTGCTCCTCTCCACCAGGATAAACCTCTCTGAAAGTTACACAGAATAAAAGCCATTCTAATTATAATTTTTGTTAGATGAAGCGTGTCCCTCGAAGCAGCATTGAGAGATGACTGATTACCAGAAGAGACTCGGTGTACAGTTTGCATTCAAACACAAATCCTCACACTTGTACACAGACTTGCCAGGATTAAAAAGCCTGGGGTAACCATGAGATGAATCACTGTGCTTTATTAAATTGATAAATGGTTTTAGTTATTAAGGCACAAATATTTACATTCAGCATCATTTTTGAAAACTGCTTAAAAATTGGAGCTGTTCATCTGGCAGCCCCCAAACCTAATCCAGCACTTCAGTCATTAATTGGTACTTTAGTTCTGACTTCTGGATTACTCAAAGGACAAAATGTTAAATTAAAATAAATCAGGTGAAAAAAATACAGTATATTTCATCCAAAATTAACTTGTGGAATTTTCCACAAACAGAACAGTATCTTTGTATTTTTGCCTCAGAATGTGTTACATTTTTTTGACGTTTGCCCACATGGATAAAAACACTTATCCTATAGGTGTTCCTGCACTGCAATTCACTGTTGATAGATTGTTAAATCCGAGTCATTAATTGTGTGTGTAGTTTACCACAAAGAACAATGTCAAAAAACTGATGCTACAAAACATCATTTCCAGACAATGGACTTAAGGAGTTGTACTGTATGTACAGTATGACCCAGCAACAACTTGTTTTTAATAAATAACCACAAATGCCTGAGTGGACTGCAGTACTTAATTATTTAATGAGAAACTAATCAAAAGATCCGGCTATGGCAGACCTGATCTGGCAGCACTGTAGCAATTGCTATTCTGATGGTGAATAAGTGTCAGAATAATAAGAAGGGGTTGAGCTGTGGGGGGTGGGCTGGAGGGCTCAGTTCAAACTGATGCAAACCCTCTGAAACTCGTTGGTTTCTCTTAACAAGAATGAGTGTAAGATACGGTAAGGAGAGCAGAATCATTTTCAGACTTGCTTTCTGGTCATGGAACTTTGAGCTGCACCAGTGCGGCTCAGACTGACATCCACACGGGCCAAAGATTTCATTTTGTGGTGCCATACACTTGTTGCCTTGACCAGACTATGGATGCGCACTGGAAACATGACTGAGCACTAGTAAAGGTTTAAAATTAAAACCAAAACACCAAACACTAGTTGGTGGGTTGTTAACCCTTTCAAGATCTAAGAAGGGGTCAAAAACCATGTTGAATCAGTGTTTTAGAATCTGATCACAGGTCTCCAAAACAGATCATAGAAAGTAATTACAATGATGAGAAAAGTGTCCATCAGAGAAGTGCATTATCTTGAATCCTCACAGGAAGCTAACCACACATGCAGATAGATGCTTTTATAAAAAAGGCCACCTCCACTCATATCTGTCACCTTCTGCCAGATGGTGATATGTGCAGCCATTTTTGAAGGCTCCTCACACAACACAGGACTCAGCATCGCAGCACAAGTGGAAGGCAGAGGGAGCTGTTTTGGAGGCTGAAATAAAAACTAATCTCAAATTCAATACTAGCTGACAGCAAATGAATTTCTCCAGCTTACCTCAGCATGAATAAACAGGCACACGGGGAGGCAGCTGTGGGGGAGGTATCGGCCGTTTGTGGGGTCCCAAATCCATTCGTTTCAGCTCAGGGTTTTATGCATCAAGAAAAAAAAAAAAAAAAAAAAAAAAAAAAAAAAAAAGCTAATCTTGCTTTTTAAAGCATCTTTCCCCTCTGCCCAGGCTGATAACGTACATCTTTAAGGCCTCTCATTCAGGGGCATCAAATGTGTTACTCCAGAGCAGAAGGATGGTTTGATTTGAGCAAAGTATAGATTCAAATCACATCTCATCTGATTATTGAAATATCTGTGGGCCTTTGCTTCTCAAGGTCCTTGGAAAAACAGGAACAATGACCTGTAAATAAGACAGTTACTTCACCAGTGTGAGAGTGGAAAAGGTAAAATTGTGAACGGAAATTGTCACATTCTTGTGAATCCAGCACTAGATGTTGTGAGAAGACACATTACAAATCCATAAAACAGAAATAGCCCAAACTAATACAAAACATTCCAGGCCATACAGTATTTTACTGCTACAAGTGCACCCAAGTTAACACCTAACCACTGCTGACTCTTGTTATTTTTGCCAGTTACATTTACAGTCTGTATCTGGCCACGTCACACCATTCTCCAATGTGTCATTCGTAAGCTGCCAGTACCTTGCTCACAAATTCTGAGAAGGTTCAGAGAATATACAGCATGTAGCCAATAATGCATGCATTATAAAAATGTTAAACAGAACTTCTCTCAGTAAACATGTTCAAATCGCAGCTCACTCAAAGACACAGCTGTCCTGTCTCCCTCCTTTGACACCAATATTTGCAAATCATCTGTCAGTCAAATGAGTTACACTCCTGTCAAGCTTGTTTGTCAGTTACACAGTTCAGTGATTTAATTTCATTTTAATCAACTTGTACTGACCAAGTATGTTTAGTACACATGAGGAATTTGTCTCATGGAAAGAGCGTTCAACCAAGGCAGCCATCTGCAGTGCTACTGTGATGTTTGAAACTCTTTTGGATAATGTTGCGTTAAATGTCTTCACTTAAATGAAACGATTTACTGTACAAGAAACAGGAGGTACGTTACCATGACTCAGTTACTGTAGTTATGCTGTGGCCTGCAGCGTGTTACACAATGGTGGAAGAAGTACTCTGATCCCTTACTTAAGTAAAACTAGCAATACCACAGTGTAAAAGTACTCTGTTACAAGTCAAAGTTCTCCATTCAAAATGTTAAGTACAAGTTTAATGTATTGATATTAACATCAAACAACTGTGACACAAAACAATTATCTTAATCAGCTGATTTGGTTTGGAGATCAGTTTTAATACAATAAATGAATAGCTGAATGGTTACGGTGCAGCGCAACACATAACAGGCACAGTGTGCATGTCATGTTGGCGGATTGAGTCTAACCCCCGACCCGTGTCAGACCCCATGTTATTAAAAAGTTCCATAAAATAAAAGGAATAAATGAAATTAGTAGCCTAATATAAAATACAAGTTGCTCTTGGCCACTTTCATTTTGTCAAAATAGCTCTCAGTTAAAAAAGGTTGAAGACCCCTGCTCTAGCTAATCAAAAGCTAGCACGTATGAAATTCATTAACAGCCCCTGTTTCAAAGGTTTCCAATGCCACGGTCACTGGGAAAACACAGAATTAAGTCCAATCCCACATTTGAAAATGGCAAATTAAAGCTATTTTTGGTTGTTGCTTTCTCTATTAAATGTCTACATAAACCCAGGACCATATTGTTTCTGAGAAAGCCATTTGTCATCCAACTCTTCTAATATCACCACCTTTTCCTCCTCAAAATTGGTTATAGGGTTATTTGTCACTTACTGTACCAGCTACTCCAGTACACACTAATGGAAACATTCATCATGGATTAAAACTGTGCCATAATGTTTCCAAGCACAGTAACTTACACACTGCTTTATTTAACCATTAGTGGTTTGCATTTTTCCAACAGTGCATCATGCACAGTGTATTCCTATACTTTGCCCATATTTCTTACAAAATGCCTCATGAACACCTTAATAAGCTTTAAAGCCAAACAAATATCACGCCTTTTTTGTTTACCACAACACATACTTTCAAACCTACAGAGACTTAAATTGCTACATAGTATGTGTGTGCATTATCAGTGATACCGAAAACAAATGTTTGATAAAATATACTGTTCTATAAATCTGATAACTTAAGACCATAATGACTCATGTCTTTGCTACTATGCAAGCTAACACATGTAAAGTTTTCACATTGGTATCAGGAGTGACAAACTGAAATATGTCTGTACTGCATAAGCAACTTGCACCAGAGATAATACACTAAACACATTACTGAGAGTCTATAATTATCTGTACGCTGTGTATGTCGACACAAAGTGGATGATTTCTCATTCCTAGATTAAATGAAAATACCGCCACCTATGTGGGGGGGAGAAGTCACCGGGGAATGGTCTTCACTTATGCAGAACTTCAAAGATGCAATAACATCCTTGCTTAAGGATTCCTAAAAGGCTTTGCCATGTTCTGATGAACTACTGAGTCAAGTCAGTTTTTGAAAGTCAAGTCATCTCTGGGAATACAGAGCAAAGAAAAAGTAGTTCTAGGAGATTATAAATCTGGCCAGAACAAGTCCGTCATTTTCACTCACTAGCATCGCTATGACCTGCTTTAGATTAACAAGGGAGGGGCTGAAAGTCTCATCTCATTAGCATTTATATAGAATGACCAATGGCTGTGTCATACAAAAACCCACAGAGTCATTTTATGGAAATTGTTCAGATTGGACCCTGGAATTTTAAGATCTTTTTTTTTTTTTTAATCAAAGCAAAACAAAATTTTCCATTTCATAACAAGAAGGATATATTAGAGTTGCAATAAATTATTCTGCAACCACAGGCACTATTTATTTTCCCCATTCTATCAAGATATCAGATTTGGTTTGTTCCACCCGTCACAGGACAATAGGGAAACCAATTCACTGATGGAGTGCATGTGGGGGGCACAAAAATAAAGTGACCAAATTCTCTCTGTGGTTAAAGTTACCACCACCCTTAACATGCAGCTAAATGAAAAAATTGTTTTAATACTTGTCATGTTCAAAGCAGCCTTATCGGTGCAGGATTTCAAATTTCATTGCTGCTACAAAAAAAAAAAAAAAAAAAAAAAAAAAAAATGTTCTAAAAAAAAATTCAATCTCACCACCATTTGAATTTTCCTTCTTCAAACCCGGTTCCTAACCAAAAAAGCTTGAGATTCATGCAGTGTTCATTGTGTTAACTGTACATGAATGTGAGAAATGGTCAGAATGGATATGAGAAAATTGCTATAGTTCAACAGAAAACAGGTAAAGATCCAAAAATTGCAATATGATTTGGCTTCATGCTAACAAGTACACTCAAAATGTCTCCAGCCACAGAAAACCTTATCCAAAAGATGGCCTTTTTAGTACAAAACTTTTGTTTCTGTGCCTCCCTGCAGCTCAGCTTAAAAGGGAACTTTGCACTAAAACGCCCAAAAATTTGGACGATATCCACTTGATGTGACCAAGGCTCATCACATTAGCCTGAAAACTAAATATTACATTTTTATTCAAAATGAGCCCCCCTGTCACTTAGGAACAGATGTCTTCACAACCAGACTCTTTCCACATGCCAACTCAAAGTTTAACTAACGCTAACATGAGGAACAATTACAGAAACAAACAGCTCTTCTGATCTACATACGAGCACGTCCAATAGACCTGAAAATGTGGCTTATAGGTTTCTATTAACATGAGCTCATGTATTATTCAATAAAATTGTTTGCACAAGCATTAATTTGATTTTATTTCATGGTTGCACGACTGCTGTGCCAAGTCACTGTGCACAGTGAAGACTCATTACAGCTTGGTTGAATATGCTGTTCTGATCGGCTTCTCTGAGGCGAGTGGTTTCCAAAACACTGGACATTTAATCGTATCACTCCACTTTCAACAAGTCCTGGACTCTCCTTTGCTTTTTCATAAAATTAAACATCAAGACCATGTGCCAAAAAGGCACCATTACTCTAAACACTGGAGACACACTCATCTACCCATGGAAGATTTTCCTGATGTTAATTCTGAATTATTCTGAGACCACCAAGCATTTGATTGCTTGTTAGAGCAATCTTACAGGATTGTTTGCAGTGCCATTTCCGACGCTATTAAGCTGTAGCCGTTCTATGCCAACTACAGATGTCTGTGTGATTGCACTCCTGACAATTATTTTTTTAGGCAGATGCTTGTAAATTCATTGCACTTTAAGCAAAATGTTTTAAAATCAATATTTTGCCTCAAATTATTTATGCTCTTGGAAAGTGGTTGTGTCATAAGAGGGAATATGTGCAGTGAGCTTCACAGCAGAGATTTTTAATTCCCCTCCTGGTGCTTATTTTCCTAATGACCAGATTGTTGTACATTATCTCTAATATATTTGAATGTTTTCGATCTCCTATGTCCAGTCCTTATACATAATGGGTTACTTTGCAATTAAAAAGTCATGGAGCTTTCTTGGTAATACAGCTTTGTGAACAGACTCTACCAAAACAGGTTGTCACTGTATAAAAACCACTTCTGGCTGTTGATCCTGCACTGGAAGTGGCTTGCTGTGTGAAGGTGAGCTGCATAAGTGTGGAGCAAACCACATCCCGGCTTGCCTCACTGCTTCTTCTTTCTTCTCCTGCACTCTGTCTCTCCCTCATTCACACAAACACACACTGTACAATGCACACCCCTGCCTCGGGCCATTCAGACCCACGGGGGAGGAACGGAGGAAAGGCGGTTACCTTCAGATGAACTCGCAATGGGATTGACTTCCTCTTGGCCCCACTGCTCTCCCACACAATCGGCACCTACTGTTTTAAGAAAACACTCCCAAGTCTGGGTAAATAACCTACCTAGAAGCGCCAATCTAACCTCCTCACACTGTGCTTTCTCTGCACGGAATTGCATGTGCTCAGAGAAAAGAGCTGCAGCTAGTGAAGAACCAATGAAGGAGCCTTAAGGTGAGAGCACAATCGGAGATCTTTATTCAGGCCTGGGAGATTGCATCAACAAGGAATTCGCATTCAAAAGGTCAAGGTCTAAATGAACAGACTTCATCTTCTATGGCTCATAGACAGAAAAACAACTCAAACGTACTGACGTCAGTTCCAGGAAACTCAGCTTATAAATAACAACCCTATGCTAATGACTCTTACGTAGATTCCTGACCCTTACCTTGTACTAATGATAACAAATTGGAAAAAAAGGAGACCTACAGTCTAAAAACTACTACCTATATTCTCTGGTATAAATAGCAGTTACACGCCGATAGGCCTCAGAAACCTTAATCAACAAAGGATAAATTCAAATTATGTCAATAAATCAAGTCCATCTCTTACTTCAAAGTGAGTAGGCAGCGGTGTAGTCGAGCCTCTATACCTCAAGTTCGAGATGAATCTCGAGTCCCCACTGTTTAAGTCAAGTCTGAGTCACCAAAGAACAGTTCAAGTAGAATCTGAGTTGAGTCCCCGTTCCTGGAGTCTCAGTCCAGCTCTCACCATTTTAAAGGAGTTTACTTGCAGTACTGTGTGCGACACAACAACCAAACAAATGTACTCATAAGAACACACACACACACACACACACACACACACTACTTAGAAGTGTGAATATCAGTGTCAATATCATATGCCAGCTTCCAAGTCCAAACACAGTCAGCACTCGAGTCAGAGTTCAAGGCCAGGGGGAGTCCTAAGTACTGAAAATCGGGACTCAAGTCCGAGTCCTGGACACAAGTACTACAATGCTGCATGATGGACATTTGTCATAATTGATAACACTAGAAAACTAAAAAGAATCCCAGCTCATTTGTAAAATCAAATTATAACTTGTTACCAGAGGTAAGAATTGTGTCTTCCTCTTGTGGTGTGGTGGGGTCTATTGTTCTATTGCACCATATTTGTGTTGCAAACAGAGCATATGTAATGTAACCCCATACAGAATATTAATGCCCAGTTACTCAGTGTTATCAACTGCTTTGTGAGCCGCAAGGCTGAGGCAAAGGCTGTGCAACATAATACTTTTCAAAAACAACTTGCCCTCTGCTCCTTTGTTAAGCACTAATTTACTATGAATACAAAACTCTTAATGTGGTTTCAAAATCTCAGCTGTGAACTGCAAGAGTAAATTCTGTGGCAGGAATACCATGTGCAGCACAGACCAAGTTGTTTGCCTGAGATCAAAACTCAGCCAGGTTTACAGTATGGCAGAAATCCACCAACATATATTTAACAGAACACTTCCGGAGGACATGATATGTGATCCAGACTTGTGGAGATTCTAATCCCACGGTGAGTCACAGTTCCTTGGGGAAAGCCTCATTAGACGTCCGCTGACAGTGTACTAGTGATAAGTGGTGCTAATAGCCATGTAGGCAAATTTAGGTGCCGACATGCTGTTACACTTTTGATAAGAGATGTGCATGCAGAAAACAGATACACACAGTGACAACACACATGCTAATTATTTTGGGTCCCAGCTGTGAGGAGGGGCTGCTGATTTGAAGCAAGGCGACATGAAAGATTACTCGTTCCTGAAGATACTGTGCCCAGGTGACAAAGCCCTTATTTAATTTAAACTCAGCGTCATTCGGAAGAAAACTCGCATTTGACCCTGAACATTTTTTTAAAAAGAAGAAAATTAGGTCTCATTAAGGCGGGATCAATGACAAGATTTCTGTAGTACTACGAAAGCAATCTAAATTAGGGTAACAACTGAAGCTCTATTTAAAATAACTGCTAGATAGGAAATGCCTTTCAGAGATACAGTACAAACCTGGCTTCTTCTTCTGCAGCAGAATTCAATGTCTGGGGGGAAAAAACACATAGCTGCTTTGCACAACTGAAGGAATGTTGATTTGCTGCCTTGACTTGCTGGTGACAGCACAACAACATGAATCTTTTCTATCATGTGTAAAATTGGTGGAAAGCTTTGGGTGCCCTTTGCCAGAAAACCCTTTAGTTTTCCATTTGACTTTAAGTGCCATCTATCCTGTGTGCCAAGGTACCAAACACCACAGCTGCAGACCTATAAATGACAATTCATAGCCCCTATGCTAACAATATATTTAGAAAAAAAAAGTGCATGTCTGGGAAGCTTACCTGCCAGACACTCCACCAATGACAGCAGCAGTGTAAGTTTCCATAGCAACTCCATTTTAATGGTCTCAGGTCACTACAAGCTCACATCCAATCACAGGTGTGTAGAATCCTGGCTTTGTCCTCTCCAGCACTTTCACCATTCTTCTGTCAAATGAAAGGAAAGTAAGGGGGGAAAGCCATTAGACATTCAGAAACACTGGTCACTACTCTCATCAGATGGTGTTATTTCACAAAGACAGTAATTGTCCATGTTTGCTAGTTAAAGAAAAAAAAAATCAAGCTGAAAGCTCAAAAATTTTGGGTTACAACATGTCATCTTTGCAAGCACTTTTCAGGTCTAGGTGACATTTAATGACAGCTCCACCTGAAATTGCAGATACTGTAATAGGTATTATGTCTATCTGTGAGAATAATCAAGAACCTGCTGTGTCCTGTGCAAACACTGAAAACGATTTATCCAAGCAAAGTACTTAAGTGAGCTTTACATTGCACAACAGTGATCATATCTGCAAGAGAAATGTAAAAGGATTGCCTGCTTGCACTCAAACCTGCTGAGATGAAACAAAAAGCAAGCTGCTTGGCAGACACATCTCTAGCATGTAATAAAGCACTGTCCTGGCTCCTCAGATTCGTCTGAGCTGGGTGTGGGGGGGTTATGTATTTCTGACATAAAGACCTGACTGTACTCAGCACAAAACCATTTTCTGCCCTCTGGGACACACACACAATTGATTTTCTCAAGGACTAAACAGTGATCTATCCCTGCTCAGACTCAAATGAAGTCCAAAAAAAAGTTATGAAATGATAATGAGATGCATTCCTCCTGTCACCGATAAACGGTGATGTATTTATTTGCCCAAATGCTCCAACGCCCCCGACACGGTGATCCTTTCTGATAAAGCAGCAGATAAACGTTTGCACTGAGTAGAGGTGGTTATGGAGTGAGAAGGGAAGAAGAGAGGAAATCAACCATGGTCTTTGCTCAAACTTACTCTCTGTGGTACATTTAACTGACTGATAGTTTCCTCTGACTACACACCATCAAGATGCTGAAATAAATGAGGAAAGAATTAATAATTAAAAAAAAAGTCTATCAAGAGGCAAGTGCCAAAAAAGCAGACAACTGAAAGATCACACTTGCACAGCTTCTCAAGTTATCTGTATGCCTCTTATCTTTGCACCAGTGAAAGACATGACAGAGCATTCTAATTCTTATGTGAATATATCAACCACGTCCCTGACACATTCGCCTACACTTCTCTTCCTCCTGCATGTACTAAATAACTAAAGGCAACACCCCCACCCCCCCAAATCTCATTATGGAGATTGGGTTTAGAGTGTCATCTTAGTTCCAACTTATCTTGCAGTTATTAGGATGCAGTGTCATGAGTAAATGTTGGCTTTTAATAATAAAACAGAGACTTCAAATACCTTCTTGTGCTCCTGGATATTTTTGGAGCGCTCCTCCTTTGAGGGAATAATTATGAGACACGCCTTGAATAAATTACTCCACAAAATGTCTTTAAAAGAAACCTAGGAACTCCGCAACCCCCCCCCCCAATTGGCACCTGTACGCCATGTTATTTAAATGTTTGGACAAAATACAACATTTACTGGATATTAGACAAATTATCACATTTTAATTTGGCCAGCAAAGCAAACAGATATGCCACCTCGGGCTGCAGGCTGAACCGTCGCTGCAATTTCACACTCGTACACTTGTGACACATTTCATGTCATCGAAAACTGTTCAAGCCACTGTTTTATCACCCATGTAAATGTTTGACACTCTAGTCATTTACAATTAATTTATCCTGCTCAACAAGCCAACACGATCATAGACATGTGAACAGGACATCCCATTTATAATATCTGTAGGCTTCTAACAGCAACCTCTTGATCTCGTTTACTCATGAGCCCTGAGACAGTGGCACTAGTGGGGGCGATAGCAGACCCAACTACAGCAAGCACAAAGAAGATGGGGCATACGGGGAGCGCCCGTGGCAGTGTTTGACCTTCTCTTCAGTACAAATGAATTACTCTTGTGACAAGGTCGGTGACTTACTTTGATCCCACATTGATTCCCCGATTTGTTTGCTGTATGAGATCTAGGTTGATGATAGGGAAGGCTTTCCAATATTTTAAGTTTCATGTTTCTGGGGGGGGGAGTCTAGAGGTTAAAAATGGAGTATAATCTAGTCTGGAACAGCAGCACTGGCCTAAACACTACCTGACCCAATTTGTAAAACTCCACTGCATTTAAATGCAACACAACAGCAACAAATTCAGACTCATTTCACAAAGGCAGACAACATACACCAATAACAAAATAAGTGACACAGATTTACATATTTGCTTTTTGTCTGGGTAATGACTGAACCACTGCTGACCATACGATGAGATGCTGCACACAGCATTATCCCCGTCAAGTGCCTCATATTCCTAGCTACAAAAAAAAAAATAAAATCTTTAAGTACCTGTACTTACACAAACTTGTCAGCTTCTAAAGAAAATAAACAGTACCTGCCAATTTCAAATACTTTGAGATTAGTTCACCAAAAGTATGCAAAAACATGCCATTTACTATGGGATAGGGAAGGCTTTCCAATATTTTAATATTCAAAATATTTTAATTAGAAGTGAATGATGATGATGAAAGACGTGCAAAATGTCAGGTGCAGCTCAGAGATGTCATCTCTTGACTTCATGATGTCAGTAAACATTTCCATATGCAAGTGCAGTTTGGCAGAAAAATGTCACATTATTATAATAACCAACATCTCAAATAATGTCTAGTCTTATGTAAAGACATTACGATTACTGGAAATGTTTCCATTAAAAAGATAAAGTCAACATTAAATCATAAATTTTTATATAAAAATGTCAGGAATTCACTAATTCAGGCTAACTTTTTTTTTTCTATTTTACTTAATTGGAAACTGAGCATTTTATGGTTTTGGACTGAAGAAGTGAGGTTACCTGCACTTCAAAAAATTCTGATGGGCATTTTTCATGATGTGACATTTTATCTTTTGTTCCTTGTAGAGTACATTGTGGCAGAGATGTATAGTACATCATTCCAGGGCCACAAATCTCTTCATTAATGATTAATCAGTTATTTTTCTTAATCAACCGAGTGAAAAGGCAATCACTGCAACTGCAGCCTATAAGGACATTATCTAATCACATCCACTCAATGCCATGTATTGCAGCAGCAGAAAGCATGGATATACAACTGAGTGCTTCATTTTATTTGAATGCAGCTGCTTTGAGGGAGGCTTCAGACTTGTGGAAACAAAGCACTTCTCCAAAAGTGACGCCTCTTTCCTCTGACAGTGCCACCTGGAGCTGATAAACCCCAGACTGGAGTTCAGCCAGCCACAGAAGCCGACAGTGATGGCAGCTGATTCGACCCTCTCTGCTACACCTGATCTCTCCGCTGCCATCAATTTTTCAGGGCTCAGAAATGTATTAAGAGAAGGGGTACGCCAGGCCCCTTTGGCTGAAGAATCCATATCAAGACAAAACTCGCACTGAAATACATGAGCAGCCCACACACACTGACACACGCCCACGAGCTCTGAATCACAAATGAAACCAGACTCCCACACTCAACAGGAACGAGACAAGACCTGGAAAAATGGCACTGTACAATGCTGCAGCTTTAATCACCTAAGCTGTGACTTCACTTGATCTACAAACACTGGCTCGGTCAGTGGTTTTCTGCACGTGAGGCTCATTCACTCCTAGGAGACTCCACTAATTCATTTTCTGGGGTTGCTCGAGTTAAGACTAGTAGTCGTAGGGAACATGAACTTACTTCTTAATCCTGCATTCACAGTACACACACACACACACACACACACACACACACACACACACACACAAAGTCAACGAGTTACCAAACAGCTCTGTGGACCAGTGGCATATATATTTTATCTTCACATGGGCAGAGCTGAAAGACAATTCTTCATAAACTGTATTTATTTTGACTGTGGGGCCTAGTTATTCAGATACCAAGAATAAAGGTTTGCAAATTTAACAAAACAGTTTTTGCTCTCATCATAGACCTGCCATTGTGCATTTAGTAGCAGTAGATACATCTTTTAGGCCCATAAACCTGTTTGCAGCTTGCTGCACATCATCATCAAAAGATAGTTTGAAGGGGTTTAACTTTTGCTTATACTGACTGTAAACATTGAACTCAAGGGTACTTTTCAAGTTCCACAGAGATAAATAAGAAAGTCCAAACGATCCTTTTCCCCTGCCAGTCTCGCTCTTCAAGAATCTCTGTGGCTATAAGCAATGAGCCCAAACCTTCCTTGAGCTGAGGCTTTGTGTGTCTCACAAATGGCACACCACGGGAGTCATGGAAGTGCCAACGTATTCCCCAGCCAAGATCCTACTTCAAATAGAGGCACAAGACAAAGAAACTAATGGTGTTTTGATCCAAGTACACAAGCCACAGGCGTGACATAACGCATGCCGGCTTCGTCATTTCTTCAGACTGCACCAGGGGTGCTCCAAGAAAGGCTCATCCCAATCTCCCTTATAACAAGACCAACTGAGGGTGTTGAAAGGGTCCTTACTGCCTGCACACATGCTCCAAGCCCAGGTTTTGGCATAAAGAGCAAGGTATATGGTAATTTGCATGCCAATTAAAAATGGTTGTGACTTTTTATTTTATTAGAAATAAACCAATTGTGGCTAGAATGGCTTGGATTTAATCCCTCTAACTGGGAATTTGCAGCAAACATACCGTGTATTTGTCTTACACCTGATTACATTTTTTGGTTGATAATTCCACTGCACCTGCCTTTATGGAGGCAGTAATTAAGGATCCCATTAGGATTTAAGAGCCCGCTAATTAATAGTTCCTTAAATACACCGATTTAGATCTTTGGTGTTTGAACTCAGCAGTTATCACTGGAGGTCATTTTAAGCCCATGATGGAGAAACACAAGCTGTTATTACTGTCAGGGATGAAAGATCCTCTTCCAAAAAAAAAACAGACTAAAGTGTCTGTGAGCACTGTGGCTTAATGAGTCTGTACAAACCTGAAGCATGCTGATCACAGAAAATCTGGTGGAGTGTATGATCTAATGTTGACACCACGTTGTTTTCACAGTTACGACACAAGGTGTTAATGTACTTAGGAGTTATGTACAGTGATAATCACTTAAACCTGAGAATGCTACAGTTCCAAAAGTGAAACATGAAAAATAACTTGAGCCCTACCAAAAATGGACATTATAGATTTTGTGAGGATTTTTTTTTTTTTTTTTTTTGTCTGTGACTTGCATGATATTTTCTCTGCCAGAACTAATGTTTATGGATGGGCACATCTCTGAGGATGTCACTGACTCAAAAAGGAGGAGGAGGATTGAACATGAACTTTACAACTCCCCACTGTGCGCTGCCTGGTGTGCATGACAAAACACAAAAACAATGCATGTAGCTAAAGACTGAAGTGTTTTGATGCTGGGGAAATTATCTGCATTCTGATTAGTGCAAATCAGGGCTGTTGGCTGAACAGTTTAAGGCAACAGGTAAGCATGTGATCAAAACTATTTCAGGCACATTGTGTAGAATGCACCGCCAAAACTGCACTTACATTTGGAAAAAAAAAAAAGAAAAGATGAGATTATACCTGTATCTCAAGTCTGCAGGTAAAATATTGGCATCCACTGATTTCCTTTTGAACATAAGAAGGATGAAGAGCTGAGACACAAAACTGAAACAGATGTCTAAAGAAACCTTGTGGATCATCCTGCTCCCAGTGCTTACCAGTTTTGTTATGCTGATAAACAACAATCCCTACTAACATCATACTGCATTCACATTCTTCCATCCATGTGCCGTTTTTTCACTTCTCATGCAAACCAGACTCGCTTAGTGGGGCACTAAGAACCTCCCCCCTCTGCTCTTTCTGAGCCAGTGACATCAACAGAAAGGGGTCCAGCAATAAGCACACTTCCCCAAGGAGATGTGTAGTAGCTCTGCTGTTCCAACCACTTGAACACAAAAGGGAAGAAGAGTAACTGCACTCCAGAGTAGTGTTTAGAGGGAACTAAACATTTGCGTAGTAACACTTATGCCCAAGGAACAACCAGCTGGCACGATGTCAACATGAAACAAAAGACAATGCTTACAACCGAGTTCCCTGCAAACACAGGGTTAAAATGACACGAACTGTGAAATGTATATTAAGAAAGAGTAACAAGGTTAATTTTTTTAAACGTATCCAGTTTACTTCCCATCAGAAACATAATGTGCAAGGCAGCTCCCTCTCGAACATATGGACACTTGATTTCATGAAAGTAACGATTTCCAACAGAGGCGCACACTGGAGGACTTCAGATAGTCTAACCAGCAATCAAGCTCGGAGCTCACTGCAATCAAAGAAAGGGAGAGATGACTGTGTCCAGTCCCCTGTTGATCAGTGACAACACCAGTTCTGCCAGAGGTTGTAAATGAGCAAAAATTGATAGATGGATCTGTGCCCTGCAGAAAAGGTTCATGGAATAACAGGTCATGGCAAGCGCACTGGGAATGTTATCTCTAATGTGAAAAATGCGCAGCTCAACTTGGAAAACTGGGCTTTCAAACCTGTTACCCAATTGACGCATGGTCATAAAAGGCACGGTGGACACAAATATGCTGGCATGCGCAAAAATGAGTTCACATAAAATAAAGAGAAAGCAAATAGTTGTAATTATTTACCTGAGTGCGTCCCCTGCGGTGTTTGCTAACGTTTATCCCTTTTCTAAGATCCATGTTACCCCGCGTATCTCCTCACTTGCTCAGCCGAGCAGCTCCAAACATCGAGGAGACGGCGACAGTTAAGTTCGTCTCCACAAAGTGCGGATTTCGCTCTGGTAGAAATGTGCCCAAACTCTCCCCTCGTCTCTTTACTCTCTGAAGGCAGACTATCCTGAACACTGGCGTTCACCCGTACCACCCCTGTGTCTTGGGTGTGTTCAGAGTCCGAGTAACAGCCCGGTCCTCAGCTCCACTCACACTCCAATCTCCGGCGCATTCATTAAGGACACCCTGGCAGTCCTGCCCCCTCAGCTCCCAGGCTGATACAAACCAAACCCGCCACGGGGAGTTATAACAAGGAGCTCTGCGGCATAAATGTCTTCAAATTTCACTGAATAGATTAGTTTTAACAGCAGAAAGTGTTCGCGTTCCGGCTACCGTCGGTGCTCAGTTTATGCGCAGTTGCCCGTGCCCGTGGCGGAAGTGGCACATAGGACACCAAAGGTGGACTTTTACATGTTTTTTTCCTCCACATCGTCACATCCTCAACCTGACAGGGTGGCTTGAAAGCCTAAATGATCTTGCTTATCAGAAGATATTTATTTATGTGCTTGTTTGTTTATGCGTTTTACTTTCTTTGGAAGAATTATACTTATTTGCTTTCTCTTCATAACCCAAATAAAAGTTGTAGTGGCCTCTGTTGATTAATTAAAGTGCAGGTATTTGTTATGGATGATTAAGCAAATGATATTTACTACACTACTTGTTATCGAAACACTTTTGTAAAGCAGCCACTGGTATTTTCACTTATTGCGTAATTAAAGCTCTTCCCGGGGCTGTACGCACAAACTGAGCTTGATTAACTATTTCCATGGTGTACTATCTCATACTGCTACTTCACTACTGTACATGTTAGAGGTAATGAGCTTTTTCCTCCACTGGGTTTATTTGTCAGCTGTCATTCCTTTGCAAATATTAGACTCTGCAAACCCACGCAGGTGTTTTCATTTGCTCTGATTAGACCTCTAGTCAGCTGTATACTGGGTGGAGCTGTGCTGGTAATTATATGATGTCAACAACGCTCCATTATGCAATTAATTAAATATCTAATAACTTAACAGAATGATAATGAGGTGAAGGTGTCCCTCCCAAACAGGCACAACAAAACAATAAGATCAGAAGAAAGGAGTGTTAGATGAAGTACAAGAGCCTCCACATTGTACTAAAGTACAGTAGTTGAGGTAAATGAGACAAGTAAGCCTTTTTTAACTGTCTATAAATGTTAGCATATATGGGCTAGGTAAAATAACATTACACTGGAGGAACTAGTACATTAACTCTTGTAGACTTCTGTACCAAAATATCCTACAGTTTTATTAAGGTATTTGTACTTCAGTTACCATTATTTCAATGTTATGCTACAGTACATGTGAATATTGTTAGTGATCTGGGTGCTGATTAGTAATGTCGCCTCACAAGCAAGAAGGTTTCGGATTTGAGTCCCGACTGGGGCCTTCCTGTGTGGAGTTTGCATGTTCTTCCTGTGCTTTCTTCACACACTCCAGCTTCCTCCCACAAACATGCAGGTTAGGTGTGTGGAGTGGAAACTCTACCTCTAATACTCGCCTGTGAGTGTGGGCTGTCTGTCTCTATGGCCTCTGAAATGAACAGTAGTCTGCTGAAGTTTTATGTTTTGCTGTTAGTGTTTTTGTAATTTAAAAAACTTTTCAAACAATAGGCTTTTACTTGTACAGTAAATGTGTATTCTAAATTACGGTACCGCTACTTTCTCTTAAGTAAAGGAAGTGAGTCATTGTTCTGCTACTGGTTCATTATGTCCCTGTTTGTGAGGTTTAACTTGTGGTGAAGCTACAGACAGGCTCTACAGGTCTGACATTTGCTGTCAGGATAATTTACTGTTTTGTTAAATAAATGTCCACTGACACATCTTGAGTTAGGTAACAGATGATTTTGCTTGTCTCCTGCTGCTTTAAAAAGTCTTACAAAAAGGGATGATTGAGGCATTCCATCTAACCACTGTAGGAGTGGCTCTAATTGTCTTAAAATTATTGACAGTTGCTGCGATTTTTCATGAGGTGTTCACATTTTTTCTCCATGCCCTGGATGTGGTGTTGCAATTTAACACAGCAAAGAAAAAAAAAATAGAGTTGTGTCCTGTGTAACACATTTTTTGTTAGTTAATGAGAACCGAGTGTATGATCATGCCCTCGTTTCTCATCATTACTTCTACACAAAGCAGGATAGATTGCCAGCTCATAAAGTTTAAACAGTCAGAAGTTATTATATGCACAATGCCTCTGGTTCATAATCCACTCATAATATTGAGGGGATTTAAGAGAATTTTTCACTTTGAGCCAATGGGAGAGTAATAATTAAAGAAGAAATTAATGAATGCCCCGCTAAGCCATTTGGATTAACCTACTAAATGAATATTTAGTAATCCTTAGCCAACTGTGAGCACAGCTAATAATAGCACATTCAAGTCCCAAGGAGCACTTAGTAGTATAGCCACCCTAAACACAAGTATCTAAAACTAGTCTGGAATTTTTCATGAATTTTTTAATTCCCAAAACCGGAAGGAAATTTTCATATGGTTTTAATTTGATGATTCCTCCCAAAGAAGAACTAACTGAATTTTATGTGATGCAGTTTTACTCTATCTCTCTGCTCTCCAAGGGGACAAATGTCACATGCAACCATCCCCCATGTGACAATGAGCTTTTTGATATTGTTTATATATGTAATTTAAATACACAAATGACATTTGTACCGACGCACTAAATGAGATACTATAATGAGCGACTCAATGTCAATGATGCCAGGAAACAGAAAGACAAGCATTATCAGGGCCCTCTCTGGCACATTATTCTTTGCAGAGGTGTCACGCGGCCACACACTCATCTACAGTCAATGTCATTTTAAATATAACATCCGTACTTACAAACATCTTGGCTGACTTGTATGTGTCAAAGTGTTAATCAAGCTCCTCTTATTTGTTCTTGTGATCCTGCTATACATTTTACTGGTTCTTGCCTCTACTTACATCTTCTTCTAACTCTCCCTCAGTGTTCAGTTTGACGAGATGAATACACTTATTCATTTTGGAAAATTAAATTAGATATACAGCTTTTCTGGAAAGACAACTCAAACAACAGAATACCAAAAATAAATAACAGACAGTCTTATTTTGTCTAAAGGTGTTCCCTGTGAAAGAAGCAAATTACCTGTATTTTTGTTGCCATTAATAGGTAGGTTCTTCATAGTAGCTGTTTTGGAGGTATAAACTAATCATTAGGCAAAAAGGCATCTACAAAAAGTCAGCTACAGCTACAGCATCAGCAGCTTGTACCTGCTTTTTGACTCACTTAATTTGTTGATCCTCCAATGTGGCAGCTATAGCAACAGTGTGTCCTCTACACACAAATCATCACAAGCTTGTTTTTACCTCCGAGTTTTTTCATATCTTAAGTGAGTTTGGTTTAATTGGTGCTTGTGAGAAGTAAACAGGACGAAGGGGGATTTTCTGCTTGTCCTGTACTGAGCAAAGTTTCTGGCCCAGATGGCAGCCTGAGTGAGGGCAGTCCTCCCTGCCAATATCTGTGCATGATGTCATTCAGTTTTAATCAAGTGGAGCACAGTCAACAACAACTCAGTCACCTGCTCAGTACTGCAGCCAAACTCACTGGAGTTTATCATTAGGACACAAGGATGTGGAGCTAAATGCAAGAGTGATGCCTGATGTGAGGATACAGGAATGAATGCATGACATTACTTTTCTGTTCTCAGCTGCAATGGGAGGAACAGCCACTACTTTGATCTTTGATTGAAGATACAGTATTTATGCTCATTTAATGCAGCTGATGACAACCAAACCTCAGAAGCTGGTAAGCCAATAGACTGGCTACAGTATACTGTCACACAGTACATGGAATGAAAAGGTGATTATCCATATACTCACTATGTCTACAGAAATATACCCTGAGATTGGTTGTCCCTGTTGCCCTTAAATGGTAAAGTGAATGGACATTAATGGATTCCTGTCTACCCTAGGGAAAAAATACAAGAGAAAGAAATTATATTCCCAATGCTAAATGTAACATTAAATTAGATGCTGTGCACTCCATCATCTGAAAATGATGGTGTGAGAGAGGAGAAACTGGATCCAAACAGTAAAGTACAACCAAAGAATAAGTTGGAAGTCACTATAGAGCTCTGTGGAGCTGAGTGGAACTGCAGTTGGTTGATAATTATGAGTGGGTACACAAACAATCAGAACGTGTGTGATCTGAAGCTCTGGGACTAACCAGTAAGCAAAACAGCCAGCAATGAAAATTCAGTAATCAAAGGTGGATTCTCAAGTAATCAAAAGTGGATTTTCCTCTCCACTGTCTCATCTCATGACAGAACATTACGATGTTAGAACATCACCCTCTCTTCTCAGCTCAAACTTCTTATTGGAATCTAACAAGTGAAGTGCTATACATAAACTGAAGTGGCTTGATGGACAAGTTAAAACATACAATCTCAGATGTAGAGTTAGTGTAGGAAAGGAAAGAATAACCACTTTCCTGAGGTATACATGTGCTTGCAGCCCGAGGTTTGACAGGTAGCTGCCTTCGATCTGTCAGGAGGTCTGATATCTACCTACTCACCAAGGGAGCAATGTACAGCTGCAACACATGGCTGCGGAGCAGGGTCAGGACAACAGTGCTGAAAGCACAGGCGAAGTCCTCAAATGGGATTCAGACAAAGAAATGAGGAGAAAAAAGGCCTGTTTTTGACTATGTATATATGAAAGTTAGAAAGAATAGGCCTGTATCAGACATAGATAATGGATGGATGATTAAATAGGCCATTTGTATAACTGTGCTGTGTGTTATAATTATTACATTTACATGCTGAAAGATTAAATTTTCTGCAAATTTCCTTGTCAGAAAATCACATCCAGGATCATTAGCTTCTTCATTAATGCAAGTTACTTCTTTAGAAGAAATGTATTTAGACAGAGATACTCATTATCAAATGAATACAGTATGTCTAATACCAAACCAAATTTCAGAAATACTTCCATGAGAAGATGACTGTTTTCTTCTAATTAGTCATGTTATTCTGAAATGGTGTAACACAAGGGCTTTGATATTAACTTGTGACTCCTGGCTCCATGTGCCAAGTTGTCTGTGTGGGAGATATCTCACAGAAAATCAAGGGGTAGAGTTTTTCTCTCTTACCACCAGCCTTCCCTTGCTGCACACTAATGACTGCCTTACCAAAGCATTTAACCTTGAGCCAATCTGTCTTCTCACTTAGAAAAGCCGAGTTCTTGAACCATGAAATAGAGGTAGGTGTCCCTCTGAAAGAAGGTTACAACCCAGACCACTTCAAGAATAATCAATTATTGCCATCTCAACTGTCATCACTGGCTGGAATCACTATCAGAACATTATTAATTCAATCTGCTTTTTCTTAGGTTTACTGCCATAATTATGGATGAGTGAGGAAATCCAGCTCCTATGTACCCAGCTGTCCCAGCTGTCTGAGTGCAGCCAGGGAGCGATGTGAAAGGGGATGAAGGACCTTGGCAAATCACCCACTGAATGAAACACAATCAAAGCAAAACCTGCCTGCAGAAAT